ACAGAAGCACCAAAGTGTTTGGAAGTATTAGTATTAACATTAAAGGTAAAGGTAAGCGTTCCCTTCACACATATGCACTAGTTGTTCCTAACTCTAGGGGGTGTGTGGCTCATCTCTGTTTCAAAGCCAAAGCGCCAATGCTGCCGAAGATGTGTTTCTGGTCATGTGGCCGGCATGACTGTGGCCAAAGGCACACAGAATACTGTCACCTTCCTACCAAAGGTGGTCCCTATTTTTCTACTTGCATTTTTACATGTTTTCAAACTTCTAGGTTGTCAGAAGCTGGGACAAGTAATGGGAGCTCACTCTGTTATGCGGTGCTAGGGACTCGAACTGCTGAACTGCTGACCTTCTGATCGACAAGCTCAGCATCTTAACCACTGAGCCACCATGTTCCTTAGCATTAGCATTACAATCACTTAAAAAAAACACATTGCTTTTATACATTAAAATTAGATTTTGGTGGGACCATTTTATGATCACTAAACTCTACTTTCTTAGGATAATGTTGCCTGGGTTATCAGCCTGATTGCTATTGTCTATGTACCATCAAGTCAATGTTGTTCATTAGTGACTACCATATTTTTCCCACTATAAGACATACCGGACTGTAAGACACACATTAAGGGAGAAAAACAAGGAAAAAAAATCTCCCTCTGCCTCACAGCATCCATTCAGTATTCATCTGGCTAACATCCTTGCAGCAAACAGCATACAGCCTGGTCATCTTCAACTGCTGCCGCCACTGGGAAATGCTGGAGCCTTCGCTGCTGATCAGCTGATTGGTGGTTGCCTCTGCCTCACAGAATATCGCCAATCAGCTGTTCTAGGCTGCGGGGATCATCACTCCTGCTTATCATCACCACTGCCTATCACCGTTAGGAGTCCCCATGCATCCCATTTTTGCTCCCAGGAGGCTGCAGGGAGGCCTACTAGGCCAAAGATGGTGTGCTGTTGGGTGGGTGGGTGGTCAGTCACCTCATGGCTCATTTTTGCTTCCAGGGGGGTGGCAGGAGGCCGAGTGTTGCCTGTCACACCCCCTGGCCCACCTACCATGGCCACGCCCACCCCACCAGTCATTAGGGCAGAGAATCAGTTGTTAAATTATTTGAATCCCACCACTGGTTTGTTTCTTTAACAATCTACCTTGTTTAAATGCGAATATCAAATTGTCCCTTATGAATAAATTTGTTTCACTAAATTTATATCCTGCTGATTCATTGCTCCAAACAGTTAAGATAATAAGGCGAGTTAATTTAAACAAAACCGGGACATAATTCATTTTTTAACCTTGGATTTGGCATTTATTCTCTCAGCCTTCTCTCGTTGTTACTGATATGTTTAATAATACCTGTGATTCAAATCCATTAATAGCTTATTGATGGCCTTACTTTTGTTTTTATTTTTTTTCCCTCTCTTATGAATACAATGCATATATCTTTAACTTTCTTTTGGGGAATGGAGGTGGCTGATTAATGAGAACAACCGAGATAAATTAAATGGAAGAGATTAGTAAAGTAAATGGTTTTCCAAGTTAGAGAAATTAAGTGTTGATGAACTTGCAGTTCAGCGTAACCTTTACCAGAAATCAAAAGTTGTGACACAGATCTATCGGACTGGAAATGTTAAGATAATTTTATCCATCAGTAAGAGAGTACTGAATCCAATTAAAAACTGAATTAAAAACTACACATTGTTGCAATATTTCAGCTGTTCAATATGAACAAATAAATATTAGTACTACTGA